AATAAAAATGATTTGTTTTTAAAGTATTTTTGTCATAAAAATATATAATGAAATGGATTTGAAAACAAAAAATATTTTGTGTAAATATTGTATAATAATTAATTGATAAATTAAAATTAAATTAAATGAAAATTAAATTCAATTAAGAATTTCTAAAACAAACAAATTTGAAAAAATCTAAAAAAATAAATATAAGATTTCAATGGTATTCGTGAAAATAAAATACACACAAAAGGACTAATAATTAATTGAAACTAAACATACTTTTCAGTTCGTAATTAACATGAAAAACGTGAATATCATTTCAAATCCTATTAAATCAATAATTTGGGTCAAAATATGTTCACACTATGAATGTAAAAGCGTTTTTTGGTTCATTTCAAAACAAGTGTCCAGTAAAATGTTAATTATTAGAAACAAAGTTTTTATATTATGTTTCAACCGTTCAGTCATTGATTAAAACTGCTTTTTATGAGCTTTTAAACCGTAAATAATTGACTCAACAATTAAATCAATTATTAAATCACTAATAGTTATGATGAATGGAAAGCAACGATTGATTATAAGCTCAAGAAATACATACAGAAAACAGACTTTTCATTAAAAACAGACAAAAAACAAATAGCGATTCAAATCGATAATCAAATAAAATAGACAATTAAATTAAATTAAAATAAAATAACTTAAAAATATTTCTAAACGACTAAAACGATTGTGTGTTTGCAATGAATTGATTAGAAATGAAAAATAATCAAATAATTAGCTCTAAAATGATTATAAAACTTAAAATTGAATAAAATTTTTGGTTAAATATTGAGAATTAAATTAAAAATTTAAGACAAACTTCACAATCAATGAATCGGTCGAGAAATTAATGAATAATAATAGAAATTACGGAGACGTCCGGTGAGTCTGTAGTGATCGCTAGGCTCCGGGTGTGTGTCCACCAAATCTAGCCGTACGCTCGGAGACAGTCGAGACATCCCATTCCAAAGTCAATGGCCGATCACAGGAGTGGACTGTCGTTAGGTGTGGCCGACTTTTTGGCCGCTTTCTGGAGGGAGGCGTTCTGTTTGGACAGTTGGGCTATTTTCTGCTGCAATTCCTGCACTTTTTCCGAGTGCTGGCGCTGCGTGTCTGTCAGCTTCACCCGGTGCTCTCGCATGTCAGTCGAGTGCTTCGACTTTAATAAAGTCATCTGTAGTTCCGAAAGGGACAGACAGTCGCGCCATTCGCACAAAAACAAAACCATTAATATCCCATAAAATACAGCCAGTAATCAATACTCCATAAGTCATACACTCAACCGTCAAATCAATAGACATATGAAAGGGAAGGCCTACTGTACCTCTTTGTCTTTGTTCAAGAGCTCCCTGTCCTTAGTCTTAATAAGTTTGTTGAGCGCCAACACTTGTTCCCTAAGCTGTGTCACCGTAACCATAG